AATAACCTCTGATGATAATTCTAATATGTGGCATCATATTCGCTTCATCATTAACACTAAATAATTATAAGTAGTATATTTTAAAGAAATAATGAAAAATATATATCATTGGTGTTATTGCAAGCATTTAGCGTTTATGCTTTCAATTAATGTTTTTACAAAACTTATTTATAAAATATATAATTCCGTTTGATATATTCCCTGACTTAAGTGAAAAATGTTCCATAATTTTCCTTTAAATGCGATGGAATTTGTGTCTTATCTTTGTTTGCAAGAAAACTAGAATCAAAGCACTGATTTTCCTCCTCCGCAAGTGTTTATATGCGTCAGGATTGGGATATGTGTTAATTAGATTTCTTGATTCCAAATCTAAACAGCTAGATAAAAAAGATACATTTGGTCAAATGAGGAAATTCTAATGGCCCAATTCAACGCCTTCGCCAGTCTGGGAGTCTCAAGAAATCTTATAATTTGAGTAGTACGTTCTTTTTCCATGTTTCATAATACTTGCAGGTACTCGTGCATTGCTAGCACGTGTTATTGTCTAGTAACATATAACACAACTGATACATCATTTTTTATATAAATTGGATCTGCACTGACCTTTAATCATTTGAGTCGTAAAGAGACATGAAATAACATCATAAGTTGACTAACCTTGAATTGGACAGGTAAACTCGGAAACTCCGTCTGTCAATTTTGACAGGTAAAACACTTGGGATGTGATGTGTGAATGAATAACGTGTACTGATAGGCATAAGCTTTTACAACACAATAAAGAGATAGCGGACACTCTATAACCTATTATAGGTAAGTTGTAATATGCATATATGAATATGATTTTTTATAGACCTAGATGATCTGAACAATGCTTTATAATCTAATAAAGACAGTATATTCGATTTTTTACTGTTCAGATTAAGTAGGTCAATACGATGAAAAGACTCCTTTAAATGGCATTTAACAATTGCTAATATTTTACGTAATTGCAAATTTATATTAGTATACCTATATGAATATTAAGCGATTTTAATATTTCATTTCATTTTTTTTTTAAATTTTGTATGTGTGTTTATATGTGGAAATTTTAAAGTAATATTTAGTTTCTGAATTGAATTTATTTAACTTCTGGACTACAGATCAAATACTATACAAGCATACTTTTTTACTCTACATGTATATATTAAGGCATTTATCCCCTTTTAAAATATAGATTGTTATCTCGTAATAAGATTATATAAAAAAAATTATATTTATTTAATTTTATGATTAATTAGCATTTATTAGGAAATAAATCCATTCCTTACCTTTAGAGAAAATAAGAATATCTATAATTATTTCATCCCAATTTGTCACCTTCTTCCAGAATAACATATAAGATCGTTTATCCTACTTTCTGACCTCGTGTAACCAAAACTGGTCCCTGGGGCTAAATCTTGACGTAAAACATAGAAAAAAAAACAAGAGTTATCTGTTTACACATGTACACCTGATCTCTGATGTAAAACAATTGTACATGCATTAAATTGTTTATTTTTTCATTATCCCTGTAAGTATTATATGTAACCCCTGTTTTCCCCAATAACAAGGATTTCTTGGGTTCTTTTGGAGGAATTATTTTTTACATATTCAACATAAATAAACCCTGTAACAAAAATATTAAAATCAATGCATGGCATAAACAAATATTATCAAGTCAGTTTAAAATTATATCTCTGATCGTAAAATATTACACTGAACTTTCATTTCACATAATCTTTATAATTAATTACTTTATCCAGAAATAATAGAATATTACTGATATTACCATATGGAAATATTTACTCTTACAAAATATGAAAAGAAATCATTACATACTTCCAATTTAGAAATTATGAATTATAAACCAAAAAATTAACGAATATAACTTTCAGTAACCAGAACTGAAATAAATGTATAAACAGAGAAAATAACATGAAACTCAATTTCATGCAAATAATAAACACACATATACCCTTACCTCACATGAGGTGTAAAGGTCAAAACGTAAAATACTTCAAGGCGATGAATAATTGCATGTTTCCCTGTATAATAAATATATTAGGATTTATAATTTTATATTCAGTGTAAATAATTTTACTCAATTACTAAAATAAAGGTGTTATGAGAATTTAACGAGATTATTTAATCCTGCTCACTCTGTCGTTCTCTCATTTAAGACTATGAAAATAATAATTTGAATTATGATAAAAATGCAAATATTAAAGCCGTAATTTAAGCAACATGACATTAGACTATATTTAAAAGTTTTAACTTACTGCACTCTCACGCAATACACGTTCACGCCAAGCATACGTATTCGAGTGGTTATTAAATGAAATATAGGCAAATTAATATATATGCTAAGTAATAAACAAGAATACTAATAAAACAAACCTTAAATCCAAAGACCCAAACTCTAAGTTGACTAAATAAAGAAAATCTGAATGAACTTCAAAATCTGCCTCGCCCGGGAAACAACCAGCACGGGATTGAACTCACAAAACAAGATAACCAATAAGAAATCAAAACAAGTCACCCGTGTCGAAAGATCTAAATATAGCAGTTAAAACACAGACTGATTCGTATTTCTTTCAATAAGTATTTATTTTATTTGTCATTTATTTAACTGAGGTAAATTCACACATACACATAATAATATTTACATACACACAAAATAAACATTTTCTAAATATATACAGGATATCACATATATATATATTTTTCATTCCTTTCATGTATATTGTTTTTTAGATATACCTTTTCTCTAATTCGTTTTTCTTGTTCTTTCTCTTATACATGCACATGTTTTTTTTTTTTTTTTTTTTTTGTTTTGTTTTTTTTTTGTTTTGTTTTTTATATTATGTGAGTCCTGTCTAAAATCCATTTACTCTGTTTTCGTTTTTGCTTCAACGTCTTATCGTGAAATAAAATTTTAGAAGGAAACCTTTCGATGCACGTGCAGATGAGAAATTTAATTAGATACAACTTAAAACGACCGGTGAAGTATAATAATGTTCAACCCCGCTTGTGACCTTGATGATCAGTCTTTGTGGCTGCATGGATTTCATTTCAAGACAAAGAATATAGTCAAAATTGCATTCTTCAAGCTAGTTTTAATTATAATTAGAACAATTACAGAAACTGATGTTTTTTAAACGGCCTCATATTTTCCCAAATTGTACTGTTTTCCACAAAGCTGAAAGTTAAACATTTTCGATATAATCCAACAACCTAGAGATAAATCTATTTCTGTAAAAAAAAAATAGTATTTCGATGTAATCAAACAACTTAGTACTTATAAAATTAATGCATTTAAGTAAAACTTCTTTCAATCCAAGCAACTGCCTTCAGTGAAGCTAGTTTTTTTTCCCCCAAAAAAACAAAAGAACAGTTTTTGTGAATCTTTAAGTGTCATTTATTAAAAATGATTATAAAATTCAAAAAATTATATTTTTAATAATTAAAAAAAGTATAAGGCGCATGCGCGGGTCTAGAGGGGGTCGGGGTGGGTGGGTTCCGGACCCCCCCCCCCCCTTGTAATTTGGAGAGTTATATAAAATATATACTGAAGTAAATAAAAAATGACTTTGGAACCCCCCTAGAAAACGTGGACCCCACCATCACCACCACGAAATAGGTGTTTTAACGTATCGGAACCTTTTTTTTTTCGTTTGCTTGTCAAGAAATTTTCTGGATTTAATGCGGTTGGGGAAGGAAATATAGCTTTTTTTTTTGCTTGTTAAGAAATATATGGGTTAGAATTTTTTTTGACTGGGATGGAACCCCCCCCTCCCCCTCCAAAGAATTCCTGGATCCGCGCCTGAAGCCGCCTCAATTACATGTCCACGCAAATACGATAATTTAGATTTAATTTTAATTAATTTATTATATTACAAACAACAGATATAAATATCAAATACATTATTCCTCATATAGTGATCATGAATCATAATATTAATAACTTTCAAAACAGTCCAATTATGCCTGTTATTTCAACTGATTTGGTTGAATTGTAAGAACATATTAACGTTCAAACCAATCAGCGTTTTTACATGCATTTTAGCAAAATTATTTAATAAATGTACTATTCTATTACACGTGTTTTTTTATTATTCTGTTAGAGATCACGTGCATGCGTGTTTTTTTTCATTATATCAGATATACATGTACATGTAATTATGATGATGTGTTTGAAGGGGGGGGGGGGCACACTGTGTCTTTATATCGTAATTATTTTTATTACAAGATCGGAGGGAATTCTGCGGTGATATATTCTATAATTATTCACAATAGATATATGTGCACTAAGGAATTATTCGACTAACATCTAACAACGGAATATCAAGACATGAGAAAAAAAGACATGTACATGTACAACTTCATTAGACAGTGTACTTCTTTAGATGAAAATTAGAAACCTACTGTATCAATTCAATTCTGAATGAAGAAAATGCAAAATACGATCAAAAGTAAGGGGGAAAAACCCAGTAAAATAAGAAAAAAAATATGCCCTTTTAAAATCAATTTAAAAAAAAAAAAAAAAAAAAAAAAAAAAAAAAAAAAAAAACAAGCAACAAAAAAAGGAACATAAAAAAAAACTGAATGAATATAAACAGAAACAAGCAAACAAAACCACAAACATATAAACAAAATGTTTTTTTTTAAAAAAAAAAAAAAAGGAAAGAAAAGCAATAACAACAATTCAATAATTCAAAAAAAAGAAAAAAAAAAAAAAAAAGGATTGCAGAAAGAGGTCTTTCAAATTCTCTTTATCCTGCACGTTTTTTTTTCCTTCCTCTGAAATTGCTCAGAGATTCTTGTGATGAAAGTCAACAAACATACATGTACAGGAAACGGAATCAATTTTCTTAAAAAGAAAAGAAATGTTTTATGATATTTGCTCAGTATCTTTCTGCTTAAAACTGCAAACAAATACAAAGCAAGGAAACTTTTTTCAGAGGAATATTTTAATCTTCACAATGGGGGTGATGAACATAAACGAAAACCACTCGACAGAGGCAGAAGAAAGTAGAGACCGCATCAACCCAGCGGACACGGCTTGCGGGATTGGTCCGTGCCGTCCGAGATTCATTCAATGCTGCGCCCATCTTCTACCTTTCTCCTTCATCTTTGGATTCCAGACCATGTTGACAGGTTCTTTGTCGTTTTACCTGTCCTCTCAAATTACCACCATTGAGAAACAATTCGACATTTCCAGCACTGACAGCGGAATCATTCTAGCCGGAAATGACATTGGTTTTCTCGTTTCCGTTCTTTTTATGAGCTATTTAGGTCACAGGTATTTCTCAAGTTATGAATTTCATAACTATTTATTAATCTAAAATTATTTAACATGTTCCCTTCTACATTTTGAAGTTTTATCACATGTTTACTCCTTTATACTGTAGATATCGGTCATATGATATTGTTATCATGCCAACAGTTGTGACGTCACATTTTTATTTACATGTGAAAGTTTTTCAGTCAAATAAAATGGTATCATATGTAATCATAAAAACAGTGTGATAGCAGAGCTATGTATAAAACGTGTGTTAAAGAAATTCCCGTAGTTTGTGGTTGGGATATTATTTTTATCCAACTTATGTGTTTTACTCCATCGAAATGCTCACGGATGAGTAGCACACAACGAGTTGGATAAAAATCATAATTATCCAACCATAAACCATGGGAGATCATATATATCGCAAAGCTCACTGACAGAATTTGTACCTGTTTATCATTTATTTTCACTTTATTGACAAAATTGCCGACCCCTGTGCTTTATGAAATGTATCGTTATAATTTGATATTTAAGCAGTTAATTTCAATTTGTTTTCAGGGGCCACATACCTCGGGTGTTATCGATTTGTGGAATATTATTTGGGCTTTCTGGGCTCCTCTGTAGTCTTCCACATTTCGTCTTTGATGGACGTTCAACTCTCGACAGATCCAGAATAATTACTAACTCAAGCAATAAGGATTCATTATGCCAACCGAAAGCTCAAAATATTACGTCAAACTGTGACGTCATTGATCCAAACGAACACGTCTCTCAGTCAAAATGGGTTGTGCTTTTTATCACCCTTTGCTACGTCATTCAAGGAGTTGCCAAATCGCCAAGATCTTCACTGGGAACGGTCTATTTAGACAGTTCATCCGACAAAACCAAAACTGGCCTGTATTTAGGTGTGTGCTCTCCGAAGAAATTGAGACAAATCTTTTTTCGTTAGGGTTAAACTACATGTATCTATCTATCCGTCCGTCTGACAGACAAACATCATGTACAGCTCGAAATTTACGATCTGTGAGGTGTGACTCCGTACATAGAGCAGAAATCCCTTCTTGCAAATGTAAAAGCCATATTTTTAAAGGTTTTAGAGAAAAAAAAAGAAATTAGGAACTGTCGACAGAATTTTTCAGACAGTATAATCTAGCACTATGACAAGTAAATAATTTTCTTTAAATTATTATTAAAATATTTTCTTAGTTGTATTAGCAGATAAAATATTTTGTCAAACTTTGAGTAATGTAACTATGACAATGGGTTTTATGAGTATACAACAGTTCATTGCATGATAGTTTTTTTTTTAAAATTCCCTTTCAGCAATATCTACATCATTTGGAATTTTTGGGCCTTTTTTTGCGCTGATAATGGGTGGCCTTTTCGGAAAAATACCTGTTAATTTGAAAGGTAAGTGCTTTATCGTGTGAAATACACATAGTGATTTTCACAATAAACATCGTTTCAAAAGGTGTCCGTTGACTGTCAATCAATTAATACTTAATTGTGGCACGAATGATGAAGCAGTTGATAAATACAAGTGGCCTGATTTTAACCTGTCAAGTGCGTTGTTATCTTAGAGTTTGACAAAAGAAATGAAATTACATTAATTTTGAAGGTTTTCGTTAAAATAAGTATTTGAATAAAGCACAGCCGGAGTCCGTTCATTGGCCTCTTACGAAAAGAAAAAAAAAAAACTTCAGCTTTCGAAAAGTCAACCATTATAGATCTATTTTCTTTCACAAAGGTGTTGCAACTCCGTTGTTATCTTCCTTGAATTATTGTAGTTCCAAAGACGAGAATCAAGTTTATTTCATTCTGCGTCAAACTTAAAGTTTTTTTTATGAACAAAGTCACTTTAGAAATTATTTGAAATTGTTATAATTAAAAAAAAAAACGATTGTGTTACAGCTGTATCGTTTTTTTTTTCTTTGGAGCAAACTCATTTAACATAATTCTTCAGTAATTTTTTCCCAATAAATTTGATTTGCAGCTATAAAATTCTGTTTCGATAAGGCATCTTCGGCAAAAAGTACTGAAGTTCTTCGCATTCACGAAAAACTGACAGTCTCACATACGAAAACACGTAAATATGTACTTCTGTTCATTAAGTTATAGCTAAATCTATGGATTAGTTGTTAAAGGTTTTCATTTTAGTTTCTTTGTATTTTCTCCCATACACAAGGACGTAAAACTTATTAAATCCGTGTCCCCACTCCCACCCCAACCCCCATGGGTCCCCACGGACCTGCTTAGCACTAACTGTATTCTGTTTTATTTTTGTAAAGGATTTCAAGGTTATCTTAATTATACATGACTGTACATTTTTTTTAAGTGTAATCAAATAAATTTATCATTATTTCGATAGAGACAACAATGACCCCGGAAGACCCAAGATGGATCGGTGCCTGGTGGTTGGGGTTTATTGTTTTTGGATCTTTGGCTCTAATTCCGTCCATCCTGGTTCTATTCTTTCCCAGAACCATACCGGAACCGGAAGTAAAAGACAAGACAAAACGCAAGGAAGAACAGACACCTGACGGGAAATCAAAGAAAAAAACAGAATATTCTCTTTTGGAATTAATCAAAAGTAAGTTAATATATTGATGATAAAAATGTAATTATCTTAATTAATTTTTTTTTTTTATAAAACTCAACAAATTTGACACTGTGCTTTCCTATTTGACAGATGAAAAGCCTGTACATGCATATATCTCCAATATTTATAATTTTTAAGACACATATCCATTTTTATTTCAGCTTTTCCACTTGTACTAAAGAGGCTACTGAAAAACAAAGTCTACTGGTTGTGCGTTGCGGTTAACTCAATAAAGCTGTTTGGAATTATTGGTGTAAATTCATTTGGACCGAAGTATATTGAAAATATTTTCAACTTACCGTCGTGGAAAGCAAACACTATTCTGGGTAAGCCTTAATTATAATTTTATTATCATAGTTTATCAATCCATATGAATAGAAAAAAATTCAAACCAGAAAATTGAATGTTCTTTTTTTATGACATTTTATATTTTAGTGTATGTAGTTTTCTGTTTTATTCGGCAAAATAAAGACCTTATAAATGCTTCAGTATATAGTAAAAATGAATTTACTTCATATCTACTATAAATGCAGCATTTAGTATATTTTGCCTACTGAAAGAGAAATGAAAATTATTTTTAAATATTGTCATTTTAAAAAAAAAAAATGTAAAATTATTTTTTTACGAAGTGCATTGCGGAAATGCATTCTCAAATCCATCAGCGATAATTAAAATGGGTGGTCCATTTCTCTATATCCAATTCACTGTTCTAATTAGAATGTCAAAACACGAACATGTACATTATTCAATTTGTCTTTGAAAAGTGAATCATGCATATTTACTAGTATTTTTAGCTCCTCGCATGCTTCAATATCTTTAATATTGGTCCGAGTAAACTTTTAATGAACATTTCAAACACCTCAACTAAATTTTAAGACAGATTGGCACAAATAGACTTTCGATAAATCTCAAGGAAGGTTTGAAATTTTTAAATGAAAGCCCATGTCCTTATAATGGACTCAGACTAAATGCAAGTAAAAGTTAAAGAACAAGATTAAAAAGATCTAGTTTAGTGTGTGCATAATTATTATTATACGGTATTGATAATTCCAATTTCGATATTATAATTGCAATCATATGATTTACGTCTTTAGAAATTTAGATCAAACTTGTATGGTATATTCATTTTGATTTAGACCCAAAATTAAAACTGTAACATTACAGGTGTACAAACTTTAGTGACCGGATGTTTAGGGACATTCCTCGGAGGTTTTATCGTATCACGTCTCAAACTGACCAGAAGCAAGTGCTTGAAGATGCTTCTGATTCTCAGTGGTGTCACTGCCGTCTCTCAGATGGTGAGCATTTTCCTTGGATGTAAGAATCATACAGTTATGACGGAAAGGTATGTCTTTACCTACTGAATACAGAGAAAATTTCGCCCCCTTTAATTTTCGCCCCTTTCGCCCTCCTCGTAAGAGGGCGATTTTAAAACGGACATATTAAAACAAAACATTAGTTACTGTATATCTCTCTAGCACTACTGTGTTTGGGAGAATTCAAAACTGGGCAGTATTATTTTCAAGCATGAGAGGGCGAAAATTATATTGGCAGGGGGAAAATAACCCTAAATAGAGTATGTAGAACTAGTGATTCTACACGTGTATATTAGGTCAATAAATATATTGTAGAATGAGGAAAACAATCTATTGACTAAAGAGATGAATTTATGTGTGTGTTTGTGTGTATGGGAAATTATTTTTAGTAGTAAATAATACATGTAAATCACTTCTATGAGCTACTTAATATATGAGATATTTTGCTCCCCCCCCCCTCCTTAACCCAACACACTCATTCCAGAATGTTTATAAATAAATTTTGTTGTTAAAGATTCAGACCGGCTTCATTTCTTACCTATTCTAATTAACATCAGAGGATAAGGGACTCTGACTTTCATTTAGCAATTTTCAGTAACATACTACTGTGTCAGAAAACAAACTTTTCTATGTAAGGTTTTATTGTTTTCATACACATGATGAATTCAGTATTTTCAAAAATGAGGAAAGTCTGGAAATTAACCACATCATGAACTTCATGTAACCTTTGTGTTATCTAACTCTTGAAATAAATAAATCCCTTTACAACAGATAAATGTAAAGTGTTTGATATTTATCATTATGACACTCTTAAAATTTCCGAGTATCCCGAAAATTTCAACTTTGTCAAATTCTATCCCTTGTTCGGGAAGAATATACATAATTTAATGCATAATGAAATAGGTGAAGAAAAGAACAGTGATTGCTCTCAAAAAACAAAAACAAACAAACAAACAAACCAAAAAACTACAAGCAATACCAATCTGTGAACAGGGCATAAAACACAGACCCCTGGAAAATCCACAGATGGGGTCAGGTGCCTAGGAGGAGTAAGCATCCCCTGTCGACCAGTCACACCGCCGTGAGCCATAACTATTGATCAGGAAGACGGAATAATCCGTAGCAGTCCTGTTGCAGCGGTCTCAAAAGTGGGAGGGCCAACTTTCGAAAAAAAAAAAAAAACCTGACAGGCAAAAAAAAAAAAAAAAAAAAAAAACAAACAAACAAACAAACAAACAAAAAAAAAAAAAAAAAAAAAAAAAAAAAAAAACACCAAAAAACAAACTAACTATCCAAATTCTTCATTTTGCCAGTGCTCAACCTTACAACATCAAAAGTAAAAAAAAAAAGGGGGGGGGGGGTGGGTGGGTGGGGGCAAACAGCATCTAAAAGAAATTTTACTATAGCGAAATACTATGCTCAGAAAAAGAGTGGGGAGCCCCCCCCCCCCCCCCCCCCGCGTTCTACGGGCCTACATAATCAATAATTTAGTATAAAAACAAAGGTCTAACAATTTGTATGAAAGGTTCACTTCTATATGAATAGGATCTGACCTATAGGGCCGGGCTTGGTTTTTTTCTCTGCAAAAAGCCGTCGATTTCCGTTCCTATTAATGACATTAGGCTGAATACATGTAACAATTTGTTTTTCATAAATCTTTATTTCAGTGAGTAGAGGTAGGAGGAACACTTTCATTGATATTCTGAGTTTGTTATCTCCAAATGTAATAATTGATATTTTTCTTTACTTCTCATTGTACATAATGGTAATGTATACTGTCTCTGGAATTCTATCCTTTATGTCTAGGCTATTTATTTTACAACATATTTCCGCTGGATATAATAAAAACATGCCATTAATGTGTGCAAATCATATAGGCCTAAATGAAATCCAAGGGAGTACAGTTACTGATATATGTAGCCCTACTGTTTCAAAACTTAAGCTAAGATCTTAGAACATTGACTGAAAACAAAAGTACATGTATGTTATTCTAAATATATTAAGCTCAAATAATTCAAGCAATACGTAACATACTAACTGTAACCCAGACAAGCACTAGTAGCACAGACAGAATAAAAGCAATGTGATTAAATTCTAAGGAATATATATACAATTCAAATTCATCGCAGCTCAATGCTGCCGAGAATACCTGTATCGAGTAACACAGAGTGAGTTATTCTTGTCCTCGGAGAAAGTGTGCTTATACTGAGATTTGTTCCGCCTGACTGACAACTGTACATAGGATTGTTACAGGCCTGTAGGAAGCAATTTCAGTTTGGGGGGGGGGGGGGGGCACAGCTATACATTTTCAGTTGAGAGGGCGCTATCAACTAATAAAAATTTCTTGACAAGCAAAAAAAAAAAAAAAGGTCATCAGACGTTTTTATTGAGGGGGCACAAGGATACAGTATCTATGTTTTCTATAGCAAACTACATATCGGCAAAATTATTGGGGGGGGGGGGGCGAGAGAAAAAAAGAGTTGACACTTCCCGATCGTTTCACATGCGAAAACATCTCCGGTTGACGTTAATATGACGTAGCGATGCTTCTCCAGGTCGATAGACATATGCATGTTTATAATTTCACTGGAACCTATCTAAATACCCTATAAATTAGAAATTTTGCACATTTGTTTTATATATTCTTTATAAAATGTTGACGAATTTTCATGAATTTATCTCTGTCATTTATTGAGTAAAAGTAAATGTCTCAATAATTTCCGAACAGCCCTCGTAATTGTAAGCACTGTATCATCAACTTATCTGTCAGTATCTTGCCTGGCTTTAAAATTGATCGTACTCAGAGCATGCTCTTGAGTATCGAGTAATTTTGGAGATATACACCATATGCAGACAATAGCGGAATATTACTACATAAATAAGGAAAGTTGACGATGGAAAAGCTGAAGTCAAAACATATTTTATTAAAAAACAAAACTTTTTTCCGTGAAATATCGAACCCTTCAAACATGCAAATGTCATGTCAGTCATGAAATGGAATCTGTAAAACATTTGAAAATAATTAATAAGATAGGCAAGCTGATATTGGTAATACATGTATACCTCGGTGTATATTTTTTCTATGTAAAAATGTGACAAATAAACCTGTTTTTTTTTTCCCTAAGCAGCCTCTACTGCGAAATAGTTTTTGTGCTATTTGCCCATGGTGAAACAGTCGTCGTAACTATTCACCGGCATCATTCGAATTCATTCCCATTTCATTAAGGTACTTTCTTTTATTCAATAAAGTGTTGGACATAAATAAAGTATGTTTCGGTATAATAAAGCATCTACTTACTAACTATTTGGACAATAGCAAGTTTATAACCCCCCCCCCCCCTCCCTTCGACAACAAAACCGCCTCGGGAAATAGTTGCTGTTTTGGGGACAATACACTTGTTGTTGACCTCATAGCCAGTAAATAGGTGTAAACTAACTGTCTTTTCTTCATGGCGCGTTTTTGGATTATTATGACTAAACTGTATGACAAACAAGATGACAGCTTTCTTTATTTAATATGTAGTAATATTCCACTAATATAAAGTTTTGTTTTGTGCTAATTTTTGTAATTCAAATTCTTAAAAAAAGACCTTACTGGCTCTAATTTGTTCCTCCCAATGCCTCTGATTCCCATTGTTCATTCTACAGTATGTTTAAAATTGTGCTTTTCAGATCCACAAATATTTCAAACAAAATGTGCCATTGTAATAATGCAGAGTTTCTGGGTCTCTGTTCATCTGAAGGACAGACATTTTTCTCACCTTGTCATGCTGGTTGTACAAATGTTACTAGAAATGTAAGTATACATTGAAACGTTTTAATTTGTAAGTCGCCTTTGTATCAAACATTGTATCTTTGAGACCCAATATCAGCTCTCCCTCTAGTCTCAACCCATGACCAGAGGCTGTTGCAATGTATTTTATAGTTTGCAAGATTTTTTAGGGGTGAACTATTCTATGTTTCAAGAAAAATAACTGATGGAATGTTGCAAATTTACGTACCTTGCACGACTCAGATGAGATGTTAGCAAATGCCAATAAAGGGCTTCAAATTTACATCATCTCTTTTCACTCATGCTCAGGGCCATGTTGAGCAGTGAGGATTCCTTAGCGTTTGAAAGTCTGTCGGGCTTTTGTTTCTAAAGTCTCACCCGATAGACCCGCAACTTCCGCTGCAGGGTGCCAAGCAGCTTGGCAAAAGAACAGTTGCTGTCTTCTTACTTTTTTTGACCTAGGTTTGTCGCAGGTGGGAGCAAACCGGAGCTACCATGGCCATATGAATGAAGGAATTACAAAATATTAATACTGTATTGTATATTGTAGGTCTATTTTGACTGTCACGCTGCTAAAGGTAACCTCTCTCCCGGAATATGTGATTCCGGATGTAAGTTTCTCGTCCCTTACCTGATTGCCTCCACGATCGTAATCATCAGTGGAACTATGAGGATAATTCCAATGTATACAGTCCTACTGAGGTACAAGTATATCCAGATCTTTCTAGAGGCGTAGGATTTTGAGTTATGGTTACGTCCACTAAATATTTTCTACTTTTTTTTTCTTTTTGAAAACCCCGTTATTGATCTGAAGCAGTAACAGGCCTGTAGGAAGCAATTTCATTTTTAGGGGAGGGGGTTTAGGGGGCAAAACTAAATATTTTCAATTTGGGCGTACTACTAAGCAAACATTCCTTGACAAGCCAAAAAATTGTCATCAGACGTTATCATTGAGGGGGGGGGGGGCACAAGCAGATTCTATAGAATACAATATAATATTGACAAAATTATTGGGGAAGAGGGGTACGCCCCTTTTCCTCTTTCCTGTGCCCCCTAAGCCATGTTCCTAATTAAATGTACGTGTTCCTACGAGTAAACACAATTAATTTGGAACTTCTTGACTTTTTTTGGAAATAAATAAATTTCCTGAATAATTGTATCAATTTTGATGGTTGGTCAGAAGAAGAAAAAACTCAAATACTGTAACTAATTGTATCAATTTGGATATTCTCAATCGATATTTGGTCAATGGAGAAAAAAATGATTATCAGTTGGAAGGTTTCTTGTACTCTACGTACTCTAGCATGATTAATTTAAAGACAGGGATATAAATATTATACATTTATTGACTGGGTTCAAGAAAACGCATGTTGCCCTCTAACCCAGTCAATAAATGTTTTGTTATTATACCTTTTATTTATTTATTTATTTAATTATTATTATTGACATACATGTATGTCGAACACCAACGAATGCAAATGAGATTTAGCTAACCCCGCCGATTGTGTGACGTAAGCGGTCCAACATCTCATCGACAGGTCCAATATCTCACTCCGCGGTCAAACGTCGATTTTTTTATGACCGCTCAGTAAAACATTGGAAATGTTAGATTTTTATTAGTATTGATTTATATATAGGAACAATTTTTTAAAGGTATAACAATAACAATATATTGTCTTTTCTTTGTTGGGGATGGACTGTTGCATTCTTTAAATTGCAGGAAATAAATCACAAAAGAAGAGTAAAATTTATGGCATATTTTACTGATTTTCATTAAGTTGTGTTTATTATTCATCATCGCCATCAATAACAAGAAAGATATTAATTAATATTTTCACCCTTATTGTACTGTCAGTCAGTCTAGATCAGATGTTTTGATTTTATCCTCAAGATTGCACGGAGAGTAGGTAATGGACTTTTTTTTTTAAATAAAAGTTGTTCATTTGGATTGAGAATTAATTAGGTTTTTAGGAATATTTGTCCAATGTTCCTGAAAATTTTCCCCAGTTTTTTAGCTCACCTGAGCTGAATGCTCAAGTGAGCTTTTCTGATCACCCGTTGTCCGTCGTCCGTCCGTCCGTCCGTCTGTCCGTCCCTCTGTAAACTTTTCACATTTTCGACTTCTTCTCAAGAACCACTGGGCCAATTTTAACCAAACTTGGTACAAAGCATCCTTGGGTAAAGAGGAGTTAAAATTGTTAAAATGAAGGGCCAAGTCCCGTTCAAAGGGGACATAATCAAGAAAATACAAAAATTGGGTGGGGTCATTAAAAAATCTTCTTCTCAAGAACCACTGGGCCAGAAAGGCTGAAACTTATTTTGAAGCATCCTTTGGTTAGTGTAGATTCTAAATTGTTCAAATCATGACCCCCGGGGGTAGGGTGGGGCCACAATAAGGAATCCAAGTTTTACATTGAAATATATAGTAAAAATCTTTAAAAATCTTCTTCTCAAGAACCACTTGGCCAGAAAAGCTGAAACTTATGTGGAAGCATCCTGGGGTAGTGTACAAATCATGAGCCCCGGGGGTAGGGTGGGGCCACAATAGGGAATCCAAGTTTTACATTGAAATATGTAGTAAAAATCTTCTTCTCAAGAACCACTAGGCCAGAAAAGCTGAAACTAATGTGGAAACATTCTTGGGTAGTGTAGATTCTAAATTGTTCAAATCATGACCCCCGGGGGTAGGGCGGGGCCACAATAAGAAATCCAAGTTTTACATAGAAATATGTAGTAAAAATCTTTAAAAATCTTCTTCTCAAGAACCACTGGGCCAGAGAAGCTGAAACTTATGTGGAAGCATCCTGGGGTAGTGTAGATTCTAAATTGTTCAAATCATGACACCCGGGGGTAGGGTGGGGCCACAATAAGGAATCCAAGTTTTACATTGAAATATATAGTAAAATTATTTAAAAACCTTCTTCTCAAGAACCACTAGGCCAGAGAAGCTGAAACTTATGTGGAAGCATCCTGAGGTAGTGTAGATTCTAAATTGTTCAAATCATGACCCCCGGGGGTAGGGCGGGGCCACAATAAGGAATCCAAGTTTTACATAGAAATATGTAGTAAAAATCTTCTTCTCAAGAACCACTTGGCCAGAAAGACTGAAACTTATTTGGAAGCATTCTTGGGTAGTGTAGATTCTAAATTGTTCAAATCATGACACCCGGGGGTAGGGCGGGGCCACAATAAGGAATCCAAGTTTTACATTGAAATATATAGTAAAAATATTAAAAAAAATCTTCTTCTCAAGAACCATTGGGCCAGTGAAGCTGAAACTTATGTGGAAGCATCCTGGGGTAGTGTAGATTTTAAATTGTTCAAATCATGACCCCCGGGGGTAGGGCGGGGCCACAATAGGGAATCCAAGTTTTACATAGAAATATGTAGTAAAAATCTTCTTCTCAAGAACCACTGGGCCAGAAAGGCTGAAACTTATTTGGAAGCATCCTTGGGTAGTGTAGATTCTAAATTGTTCAAATCATGACCCTCGGGGGTAGGGGGCCACAATAAGTACGGGGGGGGGGGGAGAAATCAGGTGAAAAACAGCAAGGCCAAAGTTACTTAGGTGAGCGCTGTGGCCCATGGGCCTCTTGTCTAGTAAAAAGTAACTCGCTTACCTGAGTTTTTTTTTTGTTCCAAAGTTACAAAATATTTTTATGAGTGTTTGTAACAATTTCGGTTTTATTTTATTTGAGTAAACAGATGTACAAATAATGACATATTAAATTACAAGTTTGATCTTTATTTGACTTAATTAAAACTTAAGAAGGAAAGCAGTCAATCGATGTATGCTTTGGGATACAAAATGTTCACTGAAAAAACCGAAGTTTTTTTTTATTGCCATTACCATTTAATTTCTTTTTTTTTTTTTTTTTTTTTTTTTTTTTTTTTTGAATTTTGCAGATCTTTAAAGGAAGAGGACAGATCTTTTGGCATGGGTTTACATTCATTTATTTTGTCCTTGATTGGTAAGATATGCAAATTATAAATTAAGAAAAAACAACATGCATGCAGGTACTCGGGTTAACCATCATTATTCATTAACCTACAAGTTAACCTCTGACAAGAATATTTATTTACTAAATTTGCTCTTTATTCATTTCTTTATATAAGTGAACTGCTTATTAACCTGGAATTTATTGTTTTAAAAATTGAATGTCTATCGCTTTTCTAGCTGAAATAGCTAAACAAAAATTAACACCTACAGCAAGATTTTTATGTAGATCAGGGTAACTGTTCGCTGCAAATACATCAACTTCTAATCTGTTTCAAGAATGTTTAATTTCACATTATTGTCTTCATTTGGTTTGGGCCGTTCCAAACTATATTATTTATGGCTTACCTCCAATCGAATTCTCTCAAGTTTCTATTGAGTGGTATCTAACACCCCCTCCCCCTCAATCCCCCCCACCCCCCAAAAAAATATACATGTCTATCGTGAGAGACGAGACTTGAGTGTGAACACTGAGAATTTTTATTCCAAGGTCACCGACATTTTATTGAATCAAGGATCGTTTCAAAGTTCAAGTCATGGCCCCTTTTGAGAGTTCAGGCCACATTTGAGTTTGCATATGGGGTAATATGTATGATTAAAGATCAAAGGATGTAAAATTAAAATTAAAAAAAAAAACATGACTTACTATAAAGTTCCTGTACAGTCGTAAGAGGCCAATAAATCTCATCCATATTTTAAATCACGGGAAAATATATACATTCATTACTATAATTCTTAATTGTAGTGTTTCTGCCGGCCCCTATTGTCTATGGAAAACTGTTCGACGGTACCTGTCTAATTTGGAAAGAAACGTGCGGATCCAAAGGAGCGTGCCAGTTGTATGACATAGAAAATATGCGTTTTACTGTCAAAAGTGTGGACTCTCTGCTGGCAGCCATTTCTTTTCTGATATCAATTCCAACATTTATCATCGCACGGAAAGAAAAAGATAAAGAGGAATTAGTACATAAAGAGAAAACCAAAGAGATTAATCTACAATCTATTGAATCAACTGAAGAGAAAAGACTTGCAGATGTGAAAATTTGAATTTTTTGCAGCAAAAAAGCTTTATCATTAAATAAACGTAAATAAGAGTGAGTCTACAAATATTATGTCTGTAACCTTCTTGCATTGTAATAAGTATGTAAGCATGTAATATGTGTCAGATTGGCAAGTGTATTGTAAATATTAAACCACACACATACACGTGTACACAAAAGCACAGCGTCGTGTATGTGATCAATTCTGAATACTATAAGTAATACTTTATTAATCCAAATATGATTACATTTAACTTTTTTTTAATGATTTATGAGATTCTTCACTGTTCATTATCTTCAACTTTTACTTTTTCACAAGGAGAAAAAAAATTATGATATATAATTGATGATTAATTTAAACAAATGGAACGATGAACAAGCAATGGAAAACTGCGTACAGTGTATTTTGTCGGGGATTTTGAATTCAAAAATGGTTGTTCGTCATTCAATCCATGCTCATTATGAATATAAGTTCGTACATGTACAAGGGTTTTTGTAAACGTAATTTTAATGTGAAAAGTATTCCATGACCCTGGTCCACAACAGTGCATTAAGATCGTGTAATCTATATGTATTATTAATTAAATACTCTTGAATAAGCGCCTTCTTATCTATCATTTACGTAGATTTCCAAGAAGCTTTGCTGTTTTCTAGTAAAATTAAATTGTTTGTAGATTAGTGCCTGAACTCTGTAGAGAAATTGACATTTCCCTAAATTTACGTGAATGAAATTGCCAAAAAAGGAAATCGGTTACTTTTTATACATTTTTCATTAGTGCTAAAGTGCGCATCAAATACGGAGACGTACTATATTAGTTTTTTTTTCAAAGCTTATTAGAAGGCCTTTTCACTGCATATTGATAGGTAGACACTATGATATCTCTTTGAGCTATCAACAATTTTGAGAAAAAAAACATGTAATGGTGTACAGAAGTAAACATATTATGTAAATCTATATCCCTTTCTTCCAACCACTTATAATGGTATTTGTAAAAATGTAATTGGTTTTTGTTTTTCCCACTGCAATATTTTTGCTTTGTGAAAAAGAAATCTACTTTAATTCGTCTTGAATTTGGAAAAAAATGGTTTGTGTGTGTTATAATTTGAAAGACAATTTTCTGCACTCGGTTGTCTGAAGGATTTTATCGTTTATTTTTTTACCATTAGCTTCGATAATTACATTACAATCGGACTTAAATTCAACTATAGCATGAGGAAAGAAGGAGTATTGACTTTTACGAGATTATTTGAGCTATTTGAGAGAAACAATATTTACTTCGCTCAACGAAGCAAAAATCGCATTCTCAATACGTTGTATTATTTTGAATTCATGTTTCTTTGATGTGGTTGATCAAGTAAAGATAAACTAACTAAAAGAAAGTCAAACTAATACAGTCAGATAATGTAATGGTAAATGATTCAATCTTGACGGGTTATAGCTGCAGAACTGTAATTCTGTGGGAGAGAAAATTCGGACAAACATACCAGAGATCTATAAATCCACTCATTGTGAAAACCGTTTACAGCGACACTTTTCGTCGCTAGTTTCGGATATTATTTCTCGCATTATATGCTTTCCCCAGCTTCAAGCATTACATTTGCATTTTGCTCTTACTCTTGTTATTTCATTTTCTTTTAAAGTTCCAAACGACCATGCGTTGTCTTAGAGTTTCACTGTAATAGTTTTAAAATCTTTGCATACATGTACCAACTGCCATGTTAGGGTCATACTAAAATACACTTGCACGAAAAATATATGTACGTTTTCCAAGAAAATCTACGAGTCTGTCGTATCATCTAATTTATTCACAATTTTTTTTAGATTTGAACGATCAACTTTGTAGATAATTTAGTCAATATATGACAAAAAAAATTATCAAATTTTCTCGCCAGGTGCATTATACCTTTGTATTTCACTACTACATGCATCTTACGTACAACAAATTGTAAAAATAAACGAGATCATTTCAGATTTTCCATCGTCACCTTTCCTTATTTATGTTGAGTGAATATTACTATAATATCTGCATATATGGTGTTTATGACTCCCATCTTCTACGATACTCAAGAACATGCCCCAAGTACGAGCAATTTCTAAATCGAGGCCAGCTACTGGCAGATAAGTTGATGCTACAGGGATTTCAACAACTTCCTTAAAGTTAGCATTTCGTAAATTCTATGGTCGTTATATATCTTTTCACTGGTCGTATTTTGGCTGACGTGTTTCATACCATCCTCACAATGTCAAGGTTTTGTGTGTGGAGTTCCGAAATTACAAAACCTTGAAATTGTGAGGGTGGTTTCATACCAATTGTTAGGCCTTCGTTTTATGCTAAATTTGACTACAGAATGTTTATACCTGATCAGTACATTGGGTTCACGGCGGGTGTGATCGGTCAACAGGGGAATGCTACTCATTCTTGGCACCTGATCCCATTTCCGGGGATCCGTGTTTTATGCCCTTCTCACAGATTTTTATTGCCTGTAGATTTTTTTGAGATTGATTACTGTTTGTTATCTTCACCAGAAGAAAATACTAGTAGTTGATTTTGATACAACAGCTGAAAAACTCTAACTACCCCGTATTTGTTTCTACTTCGTGTAAACTTGTCGTTCATTTCTCTGGATTGAGCTCTCGGTTATAGCTCATAAACAGTATTAAATCTTTGTACACTCAACGTTCTTTTTCGATTTGTTCTTTGTTAACTCATGCAAGTTGAAAATTTTAATGGGTTGTATTTAAATAATTATAAAATGATAAAATTTTTATTTTCAATTAAAACTTGTTCATCGGAATTAAGTCATGACTATAAATACGCTGATCAAAGTTCTATAATTTACCAAATGAAATAATCAAAATAAATTCGTGTTATTCTTTATTTATTTCCATTCTTCACTCTTCATTAATAAAAAGGAAATGAATCCATAATTAAATTGATACCATTCATTGATTTATTTTTAATTATCGTATATCATGTCAACTTATTTTTTGTTGAAAACCTTAATGTAATGTATATTTGCTCATCCAAATGAATCCTCGTAGTACAAATAAAATGGACTAGATACTTAACTGTTGCAAGCAAGTGTGTATGTGTTATTTCCCCCAAAACCAACCCAATCAATGAAATACTCGAATTGAAAGCTGAGTAAACAACAACAGTATTGTAAAATTATATTTTTTCAGTATCACATAGGTACATCTGAATGGTCTCTATTGTAAGTAATCATTTTTGAAATTTAGTTGTAAAGTTTTAATGTTTCAAACATTAGCCATTTTTGCATGGCGACCAAAGTAATTTTTGAAATTTAATATCAAGCACCATGAGCTTGAGGTGATACTTCTGCAATAACATAACTAAGTGTGGACTGCTTTAGAGGGAAAAAGAGATTTCTAAAAGATTTATTTGTATTTTTATGCTCCCGTAATCGAAGATTCGGGGGCATATAGTTTTTGCCCTGTCCGTCCGTCTGTCTGTCTGTCTAGCTTTCTGTCTGTCTGTCCGCAAAAACTTTAACCTTGCCCATAACTTTTGATTTGTTGGAGCTATGGCGTTCATGTGTATTCCTTGTATCAAGACCTTTCTTCGGGTATCATTATATTTGACCTTTTGACCTTGGAGTTTGACCTACTTTTGCAAAATTTTATGAGACTTTTAACCTTGGCCATAACTTTTAAACACTTGGAGCTTGGGCTTTCAAACTTCACAAGTGTATTCCTTGTGAGAAGGTTTTCCTTTGAATACCAACATTTTTGACCCTTTGACCTTGACCTTAGAGTTTAATCTACTGTTGAAAAAACTTTAACCTTGGCTATAACTTTTGAACAGTTTGAGCTAGGTCTTTCATTCTTCGCATGTGTACTCCTTGTGACAAGACCTTTCTTTGCATATCAACAGTTTTGACCTTTTGACCTTGACCTTGGAGTTTGACTTACTTCAATTTTGACCTTGGCAATAACTTTTGAACAGTTAGTGCTAGGGTTTTCATACTTCACATATGCATTCCTTATGATAAGACCTTCCTTTAGATACTAACAACTTTGACCCTTTGACATTGACCTTGGAGTTTGACCCACTTTTGCAAAATTTTAACCTTGGCCATAACTTTTGAACAGTTGGTGTTAGGGCTTTCATACTTCACGTATGCATTCCTTGTGATAAGACCTTCCTTTAAATACCAACAACTCTGACCCTTTGACCTTGACCTTGAAGTTTGACCTACTTTTGAAAAACTTTAATCTTTGCCATAACTTTTGGACAGTTGGAGTTAGGGCTTTCATACTTCACAAGTATATTCCTTGTGAAAAGACCTTCCTTTGGATACCAACATTTTTGGTATTGACCTTGACCTTGGAGTTTGACATACTTTAAAAAAAATTTAACATTGGCAATAACATTTGAACGTTTGGTCCTAGGGCTTTCACATTCATGATCATGTGTATCACTTGTGACAAGAACTTCCCTTGGCACCATTTGATCTTGACCTCGCCATAAAAAACTTTAACCTTCGCCATAACTTTTCAACGGTTTGTACTAGGGCTTTCATATTTCACAGGTATATTCCTCGAGAGAAGCCCTTTGTTTGGGTACCAACATTTTTGATTTTTTGACCTGGAGTTTAACTTGCGTTTAAGAAACATTAACCTTTCGCCATAAGCTGCCATACGGGGGCATCAGTGTTTCACAAACACATCTTGTTTTTTATGGAAACTGTGAAAAAGTCTGAAACCGATTGTACTTTTTGCAAAAATCTATTTTTTAAATGAAATGAAATTTTAGTTTTAAAAGAAATCTGCTCGGCGATTATCAAAAACTAATCTTAAATTCAAATACATCTCCTGCTTTCATGGCAAGAAAAGGATATATATATATATATATATATATATATATATATATATATATATATATATATATATATATATATATATATATATATATATATATATATATATATATATATATATATATATACTAGTATACGTTCATGTTTATTTCCAAAAGAAGATTTGATTATCTTTAGTGTTGCAAAGTTTCATAGAGTAATTTCAAGAACTCGTGGCAATGTAGACAACATTAATTACAGAAAAAAGACACTTTGTTTAATTGTTTGCTTACATTTTCATGCATATTGAAACCGTCACGGTAGCTTAGTCGGTAGAGCGCTCGCTCCGTGATCGGAAGGTCGTGTGTTCGAATCAGGGTCACGACTGACTTAAAAAAAAACTCAAAAATAGATATAACTGTTGCTTCGTTAAGCGCTCGGCACTTTGAAGTGAAAGTTGTGGGTCTTTTAGATGACACTTTAAAAACCGAGGCCCTGAGTCTCGGTAGGCGTTGGCACGAAAAAGAACTCTCATTTCTCAATGGCCCTGAGTGCTGAGCAAAAGTCTATATTTGAAGCCCTTCATCAGTATATGAGTGAAAAATTGTCGAATGGGAAGTAAGACAAGATTCATTCAATCAGCATATGGAGACGCGTTTGCCGGTGGACGGCTGCAAATTTAAACCCGTACTTTTCGGCGTTACACAGAGGATCTGAATTATAATTGTCGTTCAAATTTTATTCAATCAGTAGAAAAGAAGGAATCTTAAAACATTATAGGATGAATAAAAAAAATGCTCTCTAGCTTAAATTCAAAATACTAGTAGTTATTTGTTTTTATATTTACCAATCAGGATCCCCCCTGAAGAGTAGATGAACCCTATGGATTTTGAGGTCACAAGGTCAAAAGTCAAGGGTCAAATTACATGTACTGTAGACTAAGGAAGATCTTGTCTGTTCAATATTTTGAGAACGATTAGCTTGACTGACATCAAAATTTACATTGGTTCCCCTCAGGGAGTAGAGGACCCCTAATGATTATGAGGTCAAAAGATCAAATGTCAAGGGTTAAACTGGACACAAGAAAATACTGACCACTCAATATCTTGAGAATCCTTTGCTAGACAGACATTAAACTTGGTACATTGGTTTCCATTGAAAAGTAGATACATGTACCACGTAAGATTTTGAAGTCAGAAGGTCAAAGGTCAAGGATCAAACTGGACATAGGAAAATTATCCTATTGACTGCTTGATACATGTATCTAAAGATTCCTAAAGAGTTCTAAAATCAATTTTGGTACACTGGTTTCATTGAAGGAGTAGATACCCCCGTTCATTATGAAGTCACAATTTCAAAGGTCGAGTGTCAAAGTTGACGTAGAAAGTTATTGACGACTCAAAATCTTGAGAACCCTTTGCTTATCAGCCATCAAACTTGGTACACTGGTGTCCCCTAAGGAGAAGCGGACCACTGTAGATTTTCAAATTTGAGGCCACAAGGTAAAAAAAACCTACTCTAAACATAACAACCGCTGACGCTCATTATCCTGAGAACTCTTTGCTTGACAGACGTCAAACCTGATACAACTTCTTTCCCCAAGTGAGAAAATGACCCCAAATGACGTCACAAGGTCAAGGGTCAACAACACAGACATTAGACACAGGAAGATTTTGTCAACCAAGTATCAGGAAAACTATTTCCTTAACAGACATCAAATTTTGGTACCCTCTAATCACCCCAAATGTTTGTTTTGATTAATATCCCTTCAAGAATGTTTCATTCCTAGTTAGACGCCACAAATTGCCGGTGGAGGGCTACAAATTTAGACCTGTACTCGACACTTGAGCAGTGAAGGGATCTTTTTCGTGCCAGCACTTACTGCGACACGGGGCCTCAGTTTATACGGTCTCATCCGAAGGGCCGATCTCCAAGTTCCGTAGTGGGATTTGAACCCGCCTTCTAAGGATCATCTCCTTACTCTGCGACTGTAGAGCAAACAGCGCCACTCAGGCGACACCCCTAATGATATTGATGTCTGATAGAGATTAAACTTATTTACATATTGTACATGTGTGCCACTGACAAGTAGATGATCAATTGTTTTCACTATCATTACATACATTCTAAATTAAAAACTTGTTCCATTTTTAATTTTGTAACACGGAAGCGTATATATTTCTCAAACATTCCTTGTTTTGAATTCTGATTGAGAAGTCCATTTTCCAAAATTTGAAAATAAATGAGTGAATTGGAGATGAAAATGGTTGATATAGAATATTTCAATGTTAAAATGAAAATATCCTGCAATAAAAGTTACCGCAATTAAGTCAAATGGCAATCTGTTATAGGGGCAAATATTGATATTTCATAAACAATGATTTGGGCCAAATTAAGCTTTGTAGAAAGTTCTTAGTAGGTGTAAAATGAAAAAGGTGAAGATAACGAACAGTCAAAAAAAACTTCAAACAATACAAATCTGTGAACAGGGCATAAAACACCGACCTCCCCTGTTGATCAGTCACACCCGCCGTGAGCCCTATGTATTGAAAAACAAAGGACTGATCTGACAATTTATAGGAAACAAGTCAGCCAAAATACGACCCAGTGTTAAATAATATTTGCTTATAAGGTCATTATAACGACCATTGAATCTACGGAATGCTGACTTCAAACGTGGTTGTTGAATTCACTGTAACATCAACTTATGTGCGAGTAGCCTGCCTCGGTTTAAAAACTGATCGTTCTCAGAGCATGCAAATATTTATGCATATTTTAACGGTCAAATTTTAAAAATTAAGCATAAAACTTAATAAAATTAGAGGTAATTCGGTAAAAAATAAGAATATATCTAACATGATTCTGTAACATATTTTAGCGTACTTTTACTATTAATAGTATACATGCACTGATGAAAAGGTATTACAAAATATGCCTCATTATTACACGTCACATTCGCAAAGAAATTTAATTTGTCACCCAAAAATCTGACTCATGCATTAAGTCCCACCTACGGTATTTGCTCTTCTGTCACTGGGAATGCCCGACAGGTGATTTCTGGGAGGCACACTGAATTAACTTTCAAAATCAATCCTTAATTGAAAATGTCAGTGCCTGTTTACCCCGTGGTGCTGAATTACAATTTACATCTATATTCATTAAATGTATCATTCTCACAGCACCAGTTATACCTGATGATCGGAGAATCTGTAGAAATGACAGATCATTTCAATAAATTTTATTTTAATTTCATATTTTTATTGCTTTCATTCTCCAATATAATGACAAGGGTTTAATTGCTTTTTCTGGGTTCTCTTGCTTTTCTTTTTCTCCAACTTTCCCTCCATTAAGTGCAATTTTCTCTCATCGCATGTAATTTTCTTTTAAGCTGTTATTAAGCTGTCATTATCATAAAAACCACACTCTCTGTCACAAGAGAAAGAAGAATAATTCATTGCCATGTAAATCATATTGCGTTAATTAGACCGACCCTTGGGGTTTTGACTAATCAACGAACAAACTATAATATCGAATTTAGAATTCCCCATTTGACACGAGCACTCAGAATAAATGACGCAGCTCAGTTCCACCTGAAGAATAAAGGCAAGTGAATAAATGGATTGAATTTGATGACTAGATGCGATTAAGAAAACACTTCGAACAAACGGAAGGCAATTTTTTGAAATGAGTTATTTTAAATTCTTTATTATATTTTCCGGGATGGTTTTTGCTAATATATTTAAAGGTAAGTATAACTCTTAGTATAAATTTGAATAACGCGTTTTAGTATTGATTATGTTTTTAATAAATTGATTACATTTTTTAAAAAATATGAAAAGTGCTCTCCTTTTAATTATTTATACGGATGAATGGCAAAATAGCTAGACTAGCAGAGAAGGAAATAAAATTTTGTTAAGGTAATAAACCTGCAAAATCAGTTTTAAAAGATGTCGATTTTCAATCATTTTTGTGAACAGTATACGCCCATATACCCAATTTATGAAAATATGACTTTCGGAAATTATAAAGTTTATTTATTTTTTTTTAATTTCTTAAGTATGCTTTAGAATCATATAAACCACAGTTTTCGTGTTTATGGACGAAATTAAGTTGTTGTTCTTTTGAAAAATGCCTAATTGCAGTTGTGTCCATTGAAAAAGTAAACACCAGCATATTTATTTTGTGAAGACTGACGTCGCCCTATGAATTTTTCATGGGCACCACAGGCACTTAGGGTATGGACCCCCCCCCCCCTTTTCCATTTTTTTTTCTTTTGAAATCGGGGGTCCAGTCACCCCTTTTCCTATTTTTGTATTCTAATATGCACTATATATTATCAATAATGCAACTCTTTTGTTTCTATCAGCTGTTTTTGAAATATATCGTTTTTGACTGATCTTTTTTGTGTATCAGTCGAAAACGATATATTTAAAAACAGCTGATAGAAACAAAAGAGTTGCATTATTGATAATATATAGTGCATATTAGAATACAAAAATTGGAAAAAGGGTGACTGGACCCCAGATTTAAAAAGAAAAAAAAATGGAAAAGGGGGGGTCCATACCCCAAGTGCCTGTGCGTTAAACCACATATATGTTTTAAACATCTTGTATCAAAGGCTAATTACAACCTTTCGGGCAAGCACACAAGGTCGGTAGAGAAAATTTAAGTTAATATCTGACTATACTTTTCACCTAAATGGAGTTCACTATTATTTTACAGCAAAAAGATGTGAAACTTCTTTGGTTTTTTCTTATGAATTTTTTCATAGAAAATGCACTCTTGCTTTTGGAAAGCAAAATTTATAAGAAATTAGAAAGTCTAATTAAATGTATATAATTTTGTCGATTTTTTTTACTTCGCTTTGATGGTCGACCGCATTTTCATCAAAATATATGCATATACTAATGCGGTAATTTCACATTATATGCAATCCAATAAATGGGTAAACTTAAACTACAAGTAAATTTATCGTGCGTTTGTCAATCCTTGAAATACATGTATGTTTATACATGTACTGAGTATTAGATCGCCCCCCCCCCCCCCCCGTCTTTTTCTAAAATAAAAAAAAAATGAAGCAAGACTTATGGAATTTGTGCCATACTGTTTACAAACAATTTTCATTTACTCAAATTTATCGATTCACACATATTTTTTTTTTAATACAATAGTGTCCGCATACTATCTAAGTTTTTATCTCTGCATTAGAAACTTTAATTTACAATGCAACTTTTATTATATAGAGCCTTGCTGACGAACATGTTGGGGTAATACAATCTTACACATTTTATATCAATGATGGTAAACTGGGGAAAAATAAAACATACAAGACTAAGTTATAATGCTTTTTTCAATAACAATTGCAAGAATGGCAATATAATGAGTGAAAGAACTAAGTCCACTATATGAATACTATGATATTTGGTAAGGAAAACTTGAGAATTTTTTTTTTCTCTGGAAAAAAATATTTGTGAAAGCTTGATTGAATATGGGAGAGAAAATAAACTTTGATTTATTACCAGCAGAAAACTACATTTTTTGTTTATTATAGCTTCTCATGTCAATTATCATTTATTTATCATTTCACATTTATAAACAATCTCGATTGTTCAAGTTAGTGATATATTTTATTTTCTTTGATATGTATATTTTACATGAAATTTTAAGGCAGTTTTCATATCAGTTAAAATTTATCGTTTTTTCTCTTCTCTATTCTCACCTTTACAACGTGGTCATCATTCTTGAATCATATAATCGATTTCAATAACTTTCACAGCATCGGTATCTGGCACTTCAAACATTTCTGCGGAGAGACGGATCCTAAGAGATTATTTTTTGAAGAAGATTCAAGCCGAAACAGAAGAGCAACCATTTGAAAATTCCAATGGTATGAAATAAAAAAAATTGCTTATGAATAATAATTTTTCTCTCGGGCAAATCAAAAATTTATTTAATTTCAGCTTGAATATTATATACCTAGGCTCTCTTGCAAACACATGAATTTTCTACGATAAAATGAGATTATATGATATTTTATTGCGGGTATACCAAGAGAAGGATTTATGATCTTGTTTTATTTATTAAAAAGAGAAGTTCAAAGATACATGTAATTATAGACAATGTCAGACAATGCTGATTTATTTTTCAGAATCAGCACCAAATGATGTTTCAGCTTTATATGTCGTTCAAAAAATGCTTCGTCCAAGAACTTATGACGTCACAGATCTTGGTGTAGTTCCAAACAAAAGAGCTTTCAACGTTCAAGGATCCTTGTTAAAATGAACTCAAGACTATGCGCTACACTCTTTGCTTCTTTTATAATTTTAACTCTTCTCTCATTAATCCCTGGTGATACAGGGGCAGTAAGCAATTGCAATATACCTGTATGTCTCTGAATTTGATAAAATATGTATTGTGGTTTAAATACAACACAGGCTTTCCTAACTTCATTTCTAGTTTATCAAATTTCATTTTCTTTGTCATCGAAAGATCGAATAATGTTAAAATTCGTGAGAAAAATATCGAATCTTTAAATGAATGACAGATCTGAAAAATCGATGTTCCATTTATTGTGTATTTTTTAATTAAAAATCTACTACTTGGTATTCGTCGATTTTGATCTAGTGACTCGTCAATGGCATACTTTGATTTGATGCTGGATTCTAATAAATGTAAGATTTCTAATGGTTTTTTATTGAACATAATTTTTATGCAAGTAATTCTGTGTTTTATATCCCCGAGACATTTGCGGATAGAAAACAAACACCTCCTTTGATAGGGAACAGAGGCGGATCCAGGGCCGGCGCGCCGGGTGCAACCCCCCCCCCCCCCTCCCCTTTTGAATTTTTTGTATGTAGAACTTCTATGTCCATTATCCTAAAACCAAGGCAAAAACATCTCTTATTTGTAAGAATTCATCAGCTTCTGGGGGTTTTGCCCCCGGACCCCAATCAGTGCTTCAATGCAGACCCCAGACCCCCTGCCTTCTACTGCGCCCCCGCCCCCGTTATGAAATTCCTGGATCCGCCACTGGGGAAAGTAACATAGGAAACATATTTACAACTTTTTGGTTAAAAATCATATCCAATCAAAACCATGGATGAATATTTTGTGAAATGTTTCATAAATTTTTTTTACTTTTATAGATGGCAGTTTTAAGCTGCATAACAACGTCGTGAAATATCGCCCCCCCCCCCCCCCAAATGCATTCTGAAAAAAAAGCACAGAAGTGCGTTTTATTGATGGTACGGTTATTTCAATGTTTTATTGAATTAGACCTATTTGGAAATCTACTACATGTATATTCAATGTTTGCAAAAGAGCATACAGGCAGAACATATTTTTGCTTATACATGTATGTGCAACGTCACTAGGAATTAAAAAGTTTTGAAATTGAAAGAAATGTTCAATATTCATTTATTCACTGGGTTCGAGGGAAACCAGTGTTTTCAATAAGAGCTGGTGTAACGACGAAAAGTGATCCCCGAATAGAATATTGATCAGGGATCATTTTTCTATGTAGAAATTTGACCCCCTGGTTAATTATCTACGTAGAAAAATGACCCACGTTTTCGTAGAAAATTATATGGTCTTTGGGTCATTTTTCTCCATGTGGATTGTAGAAAAATGACACCGTAGAATAATGACCCTGTGTCATTTTTTGATAAAACATGGTTTTCTTAGGAAATTTTTGTTAGGCAAATACATAGGGGTCATTAAAATTACACAGTCTTATGATATCAACTGTTCATTTTTAAAAGCTTTAAAGTTTAAATAACAAAATTTAAATGTATTACTATACTTTTCATAAATAATACAAGGTGGTTTATCCCTATTACGGATTAAAGAAAACCATAACAAGGCTATAATGATGTTCTTTGACTATTAGAACAAAAATACGCGCTTTCTTTGATTTGTTTCATCATATTTAATGTTTTAGATCCCTAATAGGACCAAATTCTCTATCCTTTAATATCCATCATGTACATAATACTCTGATATTAATTTAAAGTATTTTATAGTACAAATTAAAAGATTTACCAAGAGAAAGTTTCAAGAATGTAATTTAATAATTAGTAATTAATTAACAAAGATTGCTTTGAAGTCTATGGGGACAAGCAATTTTTTAAAAATTAAAAATTTAAATAATAATATCAATAAATCGTGTGGTGGAAAGTTCATTAAACATTCGATGTAGAATGACAATTGAAAACTTTTTTTTACCAGATAAGTTTTTTTATGATTGATTTTTTTTTTTATTAATTAAAAAAAGAAGGAGAAAACTCTTACCAAAATTCAAGATCATAAATTAGGACACATCCCACCCTTACATGTACATGCCTATAGTAGTAAATGGGAATTATGTCTAAATATACTGAGTATTCAACACCTACACATCTGATATGTATTCAGTTTCATTGAGTCTGTTGCTATTAGGGATGGAATACCTTAATAATATAAATTGTCAGTTTTCACAGTTTTAATTATCTAAATGTGCCCCCCCTCTCTCTTCTATCTAACCGCCTCTGGCACCGGTCCGCCGGTGTCGGGAGCTTTTTTTTTTCTTCCTTCTCTCTTTGTGATGCAAAAATCAAAATAAAGTCTTCTTTCTTCTTCATATGGAATAAGCAAGGTTAACGTTTTTCAACTCTTCCCAATTAAATTTGTTTTAAAAAGGCCGTTTTTTAAGAAAATCTTATCTCATAATTATCTTTTGAATTTCTATGATTGAAGTCTCAAACTTCTTCTCATAAAAATATAGGGAAGATTAAATATGTGGGAAAAAAATCACACAGGACTGAATCAATATGCCTCTGACCTTCGATATCAGGGACACAAAACGTAATTATATAGCCAGTGTCTTTTGTCCTTTGCTAATGTCAACAAAGTCTTCACAAAATGAGGCTTTTTACATAAAAAAATTGATAAAACAGAGGTATTTAACATAGGTCTATACACGGTAGTACCGTTTTCTCTTCTCCCCTCCCACTCTCTCTCTCCTCACTCTCTCCCCTCTCTCTCTTTCCCCCACTACCTCCCTCTCCCCACTCTCTCCCAACTCTCTGTCCCCACTCCCTTTCTCTCTCTCCCCACCCTCTCCCCACTTTCTCTCTCCTCCCTCTCCCCACTCCCCCACTCCCTCTCTACTGTCTCACCCCACTGTCTCTCCTCTCACTCTCTCTTTCCCCCCCACTCCCTCCCTCTCCCCACTCCCTTTCTCTCTCTCCCTACCCCCACCCTCTCACCACTTTCTCTCCCTCCCTCCCTCCCTCTCCCCACTCCCAACCTCTCCCCACTTCCTCTCCCCCACTCCCTTCCTCTTTCCCTCCCTTCCTCTCTACTCCCTCTCCCTGTTCCCACACTCTTTTTCCCCTCTCACTCTCTACACCACTCTCTCCCCACTCCCTTTCCCCCCACTCCCTTTCTCTCTCTCCCCACTCCCTCCCTCCAATCTGTCTCCCCACTATCTCCCTATCTCTCTTTTTTTTTTATTTTTTGACCGTCTGACTCAATTATTCTTTGGACTTACGAAAAAAACTAACATATATGCATAATATATAGATGTTTCAAAGTTATTTACAATAAAAATAATGGAAAAAAATACTTTTTCAAAAACAAAGACAAAATTCTTACCGTTATTATAAAAGAAATTATAAAATGTTTATTCTTGATCTTTTTACTTTAAAATGGATTTGGCGGAATTGTTTATATTTGCAAAAAATGAATGTAATTTAAAATTATAAGGGCGATAATTTTAAATAACAGAAAATACTGCTTCCCAGTTCACAGTTTTATTATTCCTTTATATGTTTGCGCATTATAATTTTATATGCTTGGAAAACAATATTTATATACTTACTTACATGCAAGGAACATACGTCAGCTTGAAATCTAAGTTGAATATTATTTGTTGTACCGCTATGAAAAATAGATATGCGGCTAATGCCCTAAATTATCCACTTTCAGAGAGGAGGTCTATAAATATCCTTTATTTGATCTAGTATGTAATAAGGGTTTGACATTCACGATCCTTTTCCCTTGAATGTTTTCAGTTTACTATATTTTCATAATTTTTGTCTTGTTCAGACATCGTGTTGTTGGGTTCAATGTTAACCAAAATATACTTGCATCATGACTCACTCGTTGTTCTACGCATTACCCGGTATTTCAGGTTTTCTTATTTATTGTATATAAATGTTCGTTTGGTGTTTGTTCAAATACTGTTAATAAAACTGTGTATAATTTTTACTTATTGCATGGTTCCACTCTGCTAACCATAAATGTCCACTTAACGGTTTTGAATGGACATTGTTAAATGATTAACCGTTGGGCTATCAACGTAATTTGAGTAAATGTTCACCTTATTACAGGTCCTAGCAAAGCTTCTGGGAAAATTAAAATCATTCACTTAAGTAATAGAGCCATTCAATCAAAAAAAAAAAAAAAAAAAAAAAAAAAAAGAGTCAAGCAAATTGTGGGCTTAAAAAATTGTTACAAAGTTGCCTCTGTCGCGCATAGGCGCCCTCCTCAATCTACATGTACATAACATTATAGAGATAAAGTTTATGAATCTTTAAACACTTGAAATAAGCATTCAATTCTAAGTCTGAGGGAAGAATTTAAGGAGGAATGCCACATCAAAATTTTATTTCATATATCTTTAAGACATCCCCTTTAAACTATAGTGTCAGCATTAAAAGGCCGATATAAGAACTAAATTATGTTATAAGAATAATTTTTTCCAATTTTTCATAGAAAATGAAAAAAAAAAATTGCAAATAAGATGTTTTAGAGTTAAAAATTTGCTATTGATACATGCATAAAATGAATATCTAATAAAATATGAAAACAAAAGCAAGTGGGACATTTTAATTTGTTTTACTAAAGAATTAATTATGAAAATAAAACGCATTATTTGTGAATATTTTCAAAACCTATGAATAATATATTCAAAAACACAAGTCACGGCTACAAAATATGCCAGACAATCATATTTTAAAAAGAAATTACAATAAAAATTCAAAATTTTAGAGAAATTATTTTTTTAATTTTGGCCAATCCCGATCGAAATTAAACTGATCCCAACCAGAATTTTATAATAATTGAAAATGGATAACATTTTCTCAAGAATACTAGTCTGTTTAGGTGTAATACGGATTAAAATGTAATTGAATTTGACAATCAAATCGATTTCTTAGGGGTAAATACATGTACATAAAGACGATAATTATTATTTTATTTATTTTGTGTTAATTTTGATCGGGATCAGTTTCATTTTGATCGGGATTGATCCAAATACTAAAATAATTACTTTCCCTTATATTTACCAATTTCATTTCAATTTCCTTTAAAATATGACTGAATAACATATTCCCCCTAGTTGTGACTAGTTTTATGAAGAATTTATCCATATATTCAAAAAATATTTACAAATTATGTGTTTTATTTTCCTAAATAATTTTTAATTTAAAAAAATTAAAATTTCTGTCCAGCCTCTCTTTACACATTTTATTGGACATTATTATGCATTAATTATTGGCATATTTTAAACCATGAAGCATCTTTGCAAATAGATCAAGGTCAAGGTAAAATGGTCAAAATTAATGGTGCCTAAGGAAAGGCCTTCTCACAAGAAATATACTGGTGAAATATAAAAGCTGAAGCACCAATCGTTCAAAAGTTAT